GATCGCAACCTTATAACATAAGGTGTCGTCGTTAATAAATACAAACGGCGGACAAGCTGATCCAATTCTCACTGTGATTCGGACCCTCTCGGCGTCCCTCGTTTCGTCAGCAACAGCGTTCACAAATCCGCCACACAATTCCCCCACTTCGACAAATAAGGCGTGACACCATAAATGAAGAGGAAGACCAAACAGCCGGATCTATTTAAGGCCTTTGTCTTTGAGAACCTCACAACAACCAACTCTAAAAGACCACACATCGATCAGCAAGGTTGCAGAACCCCATTGCCGCCGGCCTTCCTTCAACACCCGTTGAGTCTCTGCCTGAGAAGGGAACCTGAATAGAAGAAGTGAATTGGATAAGGGAGTAACCCCCACCCCACAAGACGTATTCCATGCCCGAGCTGCCCATTCTTCAATCCGATCACACCCCCCAACTTCCTTGTCAAAACGACCAACTAAACAAGTTGAGAGAATCAATTTTCTCTCTCTGACGGAACCCCCTCTTCCTCTTCTTCTTATTGGAGAAGATGGGGTTTGGTGAGCGATGGAGGAGATGGATCCATTTTTATATCTCTAGTGCTCGTTTCTCTGTCCTTGTGAATGGTGCTCCGTCGGGGTTTTTCGCTAGTTCGAGGGGCTTGAGACAAGGGGATCCACTTTCTCCTTTCTTGTTCCTTTTTGTGATGGAGGCTCTTAGTAGATTGCTAAAGAGGGCTGTTGAGTTGGGATTTTTGAGAGGATTTCGAGTGGGCAGAGATGTTGCTAGTCAGTTGGAAATTTCCCACTTGATGTTTGCGGACGATACTTTAGTTCTTTGTGATGCAAAAGCGTCCCAACTGAGATATTTGAGATGCATTGTGGTTTGGTTCCAAGTTGTTTCTGGGCTTAAGGTGAATGTAGGAAAAAGCGTTCTGGTTCCAATTGGGGAGGTTCTTCGTTCTTGAGATTGAGATGTTTGCTCAGATTTTTGGATGTCGCACTGGCTCTTTTCCCATTTCTTACTTAAGGTTGCCTTTATGAGCCCTTTCGAGATGTGTGGGAAGCTGGGATTCAGTTGTGGATAGATTTGAGAAGAGACTGGCGGGTTGGAAGAAACAGTACCTTTCTAAGGGGGGAAGGGTCACTTTGATCAAGTGCACCCTTTCTGGCCTCTCGACTTATTTCATCTCTCTCTTTCAGATTCCTTCTTTTGTGGCTGAGAGAATTGAGAGATTGCAGCGCAATTTTCTTGGGGGGTCATTTGGGGAGAGCAGCGGAGGGTGGAGTTCTCTTGAGGTGCGTGGTTTTAGGGGAGTGGGGGTTTGGATCTTCATTCGGAAGGGGTGGGATGATTTTTGCAAACATGTTCGCTTTCGGATAAGGGATGGAAGGAGGATTAGATTTTGGGAGGATGTTTGGTGTGGGAAGCTTTCACTTGCTCTCTCTTTCCCATGGCTCTTCAGGATTGCTCCTCATAGACAAGCCATAGTGGTTGACTGTTATCATCTTGATAACGGGAGACTGACTTGGGATGTTCAGTTTAGGAGGCACTTTCAGGACTGGGAGATTGAGGATGTTTCTCGTTTGTTAGAGGTTTTGTATCGCCAGGTGATCACAGATGGGGATTCCGATGGATGGCTTTGGGATCCTAACTCTCAGGGTCGGTTCGAGGTTAGGTCATTTTTCAGGTGTTTTACAGTTGATACTGGGCCCCTTCCCTTGGAAGTCTATTAGGCGTTCCAAGGCCCCTCTCAAATGGCCTTCTTTGCTTGGACTTCTGTCTTGGGTAGGATTTTAACCCAGGATAATTTGAGAAGGAGGAATCAGGTGGTGGTTAACCGTTGTTACTTGTGCTTGCGCAATGATGAGACAGTTGATCATCTTCTGTTGCATTACAGTATGGCCAGAGACTGCTGGGTTTTGATGCTTGGGTTGTTCGGGGTTCCCTGGGTTATGCCTTGTTCCTTTAGAGGGTTGATTGAGGCTTGGAGAGGTTTCTCAGTTGGGGCTCTCATTCGGGATGTCTGGAGGGCGATACCTCTTTGTATCTGGTGGTGCATTTGGCTCGAGAGAAATCGGAGATATTTCGATGGAAAGGAGAAACCTGTCTCTATGCTTAAGTTCTTTATTATTTCCACTCTTTTTTGTTGGGTCTCAGGGAGAGATTATAAATCTTTAGAGGAGATTGTTGTTTTTTTGGCCTCTTTGAAGACTTGAGGCGTTTTTTGGCCTTTGTGTTTCTTTGGGATCCTTTCCCCTTTTGAGCGTTTTTTAATAAATTTTACTTATCAAAATAATAATAATAATAATAATAATAATCCCAAATTGTAATGAATATATCAACTTTATAAATTTTCAAATATGTATATAAAATATTAAATGTTTAAATGATTAATACTTAAGAGTGATGTATTTTTTTCATTTCTTATTAACTTTAAAATATTTAAGAGTAATTTACTCGTGACACTTATTAATATATATCCATTAGCAGTTATCATCTCAAAAATAAATAAATGAGAGTAATGCACAATTTTCCTTATTTCTTATTTCTGAAAAATATTTTCAGTAAATACAATCAAACTGATTTATGAATTTTTGTTCTTTAAAGACTGTTTTGTTGTTTTCCTCAACCAAATGGATTTCAGACTCAAAAAATTGAAAACTGTTTTCTGTTCCGATTCTCCGAAAACTATTCTCAAAAATTGAAAACTGAGAACTAATCCAAGCAGGGCTTCACTTTTTTGTAACTCTTAATTCTCAATCCTCACTACATCCTCATTTGTATTTCTTGATTTACTAAAGTTACACTTCATATATTCAGTTTTATTTCTACATATCTTAAACTCTTTTAGTTCTAAAGCTTCTCTCCAAACCTTCAATTTGGCATTAACCCCTTCTCTAGTCTCAGAAAAGTACTTGGGACTCAAGTTGGTAAATACTCTTATTGTACGCATATGTTTGAATTGTTAAAAGAACCAACCATTTTCCATCCAAAACATAAATACGGTAATTACTTCTTTTTGTCTTCCATATAATACTCAATTATTTGGCTACCGTTCAAGAAACAGCTGGTTCAAATTGCTCCCAATTTCCTAACTGTTGTCAATTGTATTCTGTTCAAACACGGAATCACCTAAATAGTTGTAATTCTCTTTCAGTCTCCATATTGTCTCATCCCCAAATTGATATCATAAACCCATATTTCCATTCCAGAGTGGTGGCCTATGGAAAAAGCTGAATGCCACGCAACACCCCTTCAAATCTAATTTTCTCAGGTTGGAAATTTTATTATTAATAATACTAAATTTATCTTTATTTTTATTTATCAAAAAAAAAAAAAAAAAAAAAGCTGAATGCCTGCAACTATACAATAAATCAATAAAACCAGGACCATTTACAATGGAAAGGTGGCAGTGCCAATCCACTGTGAGGGCATGAATGGGCTCTCTCTGCATCCCTTCTACTTGAAGGCATAAAGACTTGAGTTTGTCTTTCACTCTCTACGATAAGATAATATACATGTATATTATATAAGATGATAAATTATAATTTTTGTGAGGAACAATTAAGATATTCCACATAGCTGGTGGATTTAAGTGACCGTCTGTAGTCTAGTCTGTACTTTGCAATGGAATGGCTTTCAAGATGGTCATAGAAGAGCCGAGATGTCGTAAAGAGAAGGGAACTATAAATATGTATGTATAAAGTTCTATTTATAAAGTTGATATAACAGAGTGAAAGTAGTCACGAGCTCATTACTCAGTAGACAATGGTTTCTCACTACAAAATTCACACACACACACACACACACATATATATAAAACTGTTGTAAATGATATTTTAATGATTAATTTTTCAGATGAAATATATATTACATATTATAAGCTTCTCTGCATGGTATAAGAGTAGAAAAAATATATGCAGCCAAATTTTTAGACCTGAATTTTTAACTGTAAAACGTATTGCACACTAATATACCATTATTCTTATTTTTCAGTTTCCGTTTTTTATGCTAAACCTTTTAGATAAATTGAATTATACTTGAATATATGCGAACACATATTTTCTCCATATTGTATTTTACTAACTATTTTTAGGACCTAAAGATGTTATCATTGGGGCTTGCTAGATACTGGTGATAATAGTGCAGTATGATTGACTGATTTTTTTTTTTTTTTTGGATAAGTATGATTGACTGAATTTTTTAATACATGAATTATAGACTCAAGTGACATCAATGTAACTTTAGATGTGTATCAATATCCACATGCACCAATATTGGGTTGCAATTGCCTAAAACCCATGGGAGAAGTATTTTGATGGATTAGTTGTTTTAGTTATTGGACCTTACATCCCTGAATTGCTATATAGCTGAAAAATATGTGGGTTTAATTAGTTTATGAGTACTAATATACTGGTTTTCAAAAATTGAGAGATCTTGCATCAATGCATACAAGTCTGGGTACAGTAAATTACAACAAAAAGCATGAGGGTATAAAATTTTCTAATGATTGAAGAAAAATTTCCCCCTTTTAAACTTTTTTGCTGTCTGCTTTTGGTGGAAACATTGCACAACTACTAACACATGATTCTTGCAAACCAAGTGTGACATGCAAATCCATGTTACAAGGGTGTCAGGTTTGAGGGCAGTTAGTTACCACAATTAGCTATCAAGTATTACTAGAAAGAAAAGAAGACAAAGTGACTTGTGAAGTATATTTATGTTGGTATTAGAATGAAAAGAAGACAGAAACTTCTGTCATCTTTTTTACTTTTACGTTCTAGAAAAGAAGACAATAAGCTATGAAGTATATTTGTGACGGTTTTAGAAAGAAAATAAACTTACGTTCTAGTTGAAACATTGCAGTAAAACATGCAGCACACACAAGTGCTCTTTGAGGTTACGTGTTTTCTTAAACTCCTATTAAAATGTTTCTGCTTGAAATATGGCAAAAGGTTTCATAATTCTTTCATTTGTTTCCAAACATGAATTTGATTATAAATGATTCTCAATGCAGACCCCAGGTAACTATAGCTACAGCAATAATATTTTGCCATCGATTCTTCCTTCGGCAATCTCATGCTAAGAACGACAGATGGGTGAGTGTTTACTTGTTTGAAATCAGTATGACTTTTGCTTTGAATCTGAATCTCTGGTTTGTTGTACCTGATTCTTGATTCAACCTTACCAAACATATTTCTAGAACAAGTGGTGGCTGACCCATATATAAACAAGAGTCTGTATCTACTTGTTCTCAATGTTACTCTGTGGAATACATATGTATCTCTCTGTCATTGTATAGGAAGGAAAATGTTAGTGATTTTTGTTTCAATTCAAAAATTCCTGTCACATGAATATAGTTTCATTGTTTTTATCTAGCCAGCGTGCAAAATCTCTTGGTTGTACCAGGTAGCCAGAGATACATGCGATCGAATCTCGCCTTCACCAAGGTTGGGTGCACTTAGGAGTATGGCGGAGGGCTATTCTGAGCTATGTTGATGATTCTGGACTCCTGATTGCTCATTCCAGCACAATCACTTGCAGTATCAATGTGTGATTTTAGATGCATTGAAGATCAGATAGGTCCAGAAACACGAGACACAAATATTGCTTGTTTGAACATCTAAAACAATTAGTAGAAGTGGTCATGTATGAGTCTTCACTTATCAAAACAAAATAAAAAATGGTATGATTCTTCTTTTTATTTTTATTTTCTTGACGTGCCTGGACCCTTTATTGTGCAGACAAGAGTCTGCCATTGCACTCAACAAGAGAGCATTGTTTATGAAAGTTTGCTCTATTATTAGTTGAAACTTCCTTGGTGATGAGACAAGGTGGATGCTAAGGTGGAAATAGTTAAACACGTAAATGGGAAGGTTTGTACTAAATATAGTTAAGCCTGAGGAACCGCACCCTGAATACCCAGGATACTTATTTTATTGGAACATCTTGAGACTCTGCATGAGCAAATTGGAAGCTACTTCATTTCTTATGTTCTAAGAATGCTGGGGCATAGGTCTGAAGATATAAAATACATTCTTATGTTTTATTGGATAGGCAAATTGGCACTGAAAATGATTCTTCTTGTGCATCATGGCCTTCTCACAATCAATTACCTGTTCTTTTCTTACTTTTAAGCTTCATGTGAGCAATGGGTCTGAGGATCCAGTGGAGTATTTTATATAGATTCTAGACCAATGCAACCTCTGGATGGGTGTCAATTATCTGTTTACCATTAGGCATGCTCAGAATCTGGCCATTGAGTCAAGATTTTTTTTTTTTGTCTTTCTTCCTCCAATTTTATTGCTAATCTGGGTAGCTTTTGGAACGTTAAATAATTATTAGTTTTTGTTTTATTCTTATCGTTATTGTTGTTTATCTCTTTATTACATAAGTAGGTTTTGATGCACTTCATGTGTCAATGCTAGTTGCAATTGCTCATGTTAAACCTTAGTGAAAATTAAAATTTGTAATACTTGTGTTTCTAGTTGGTATCTTTATTTATTATGGTTTTTGAATAGAAGGTGCTGTATGTAAAGAAATGAGATGATCTGTTCTCTTGCTTAACATCTGTCTTATCTTTTGCAGATTATTGCAACAGTCTGTATGTTCCTAGCAGGGAAGGTTGAAGAAACTCCTCGCCCATTAAAGGATGTTATTGTTGTTTCTTACGAGATAATTCATAAAAAGGATCCAGCTGCAGCTCAGAGGATCAAACAGAAGGTGTTTTCTTCTGCTGATGGTGCTTTTATCAATTTGTGTGTGGTTATTCATTCCCTCTCTTACATGAGCTGCCCCTTCTTGCTTTGTTGATTCTATGGACATCTGGTGCACTATTTCTGCCAGTGCGATGAAGGTTTTTAATAATAGGTGGACTTTTAAGAAGAAAAAAAACACGTGGGATGCAATCAAGGGATATCGTTTTCAAATTTTGAATATTGTTGAGTAATTATAGTCCTCCCTTAGTTACTTTGATGGAATTATCTTCCATTATGAGAAGATGCTCTCCCATAATATGGAAATGTTAAGAGTATTATCATCATAGTTTATTCCTTCTTCAGAATTCCTTACCCCTACCTTGTAATCCTGTGTGCTTGCTCATTTTTTGCATTTCAACAAGAGAGCTTTATTGTTGGAAACTATCTTCCTGCTTCCATTATTATTTTCTATAAATATGTCTCAAAAATGTGATAATACTGATCTGAATGCATTATGCAGGACGTATATGAGCAACAAAAAGAGCTAATTCTACTTGGTGAAAGGCTTGTGCTTGCAACTTTAGGTTTTGATCTGAATGTTCACCACCCATATAAACCCCTTGTTGAAGCAATAAAGAAATTTAAGGTTGCGCAGAATGCCCTTGCTCAAGTAGCATGGAACTTCGTCAATGATGGGTATGATCAAGATACTATTTCCGTTTTCCAATTAATTATAATTCATATATAGTAGTCCTTCCCCCTCTCTTCTTCACATAGGAAAGTGGCTTGCAGGCTGAGGACATCGCTCTGCCTGCAATTTAAGTCCCACCACATTGCGGCAGGTGCCATCTTCCTTGCTGCTAAGTTCCTCAAAGTGAAGCTTCCATCGGATGGTGAGAAGGTTTGGTGGCAAGAATTTGATGTCACGCCACGCCAATTGGAGGGTTGGTCTCCTCTCCTTGTTTCCATAGTAAAATGAGCATTAGATGTAAAGGGACCGTTTCCCAAACAGCACTATGGCTCTTGTACTGCTTGTGTGTTTTTTTCTCCCTAGTTTACTGCATGTGTTTTGGATGGTTTTCAGTCCATGATTTTTATTTTATTTTTGCTGAAAATTAACCCCACCTAGATGACTGTAGCTGTCTTTTACATCATTACTTCTGATGGTAACCGAATAAAAAAGGAGGGTATTTGGGGAAAAACAAAAAACAAAAATTAAAAAATTAAAGGTACCAGATGAAATGCACTGAATGGTGAGCAGCCTGGTTGGCTGCAGTTGTGCCATGGGTATTGCTGTTTAATTGGGGGGTTTTCCTTTGTGTCTTCTGGTGGTGGATATGTTAAGATTGTCTATTATATCATTATGGCTATTTTTTCTTTGCAGAGGTTAGCAATCAAATGCTGGAATTGTATGAACAAAATAGAGTGCCGATATCTCAAGGAAGTGAAGTTGAAGGAAGCATAACTGTTGGGTCAAATCATCGAGCATCTGAAAAGAGTACAGCTGATGATGAGGAGCAGTTACCAACAAATGGTCGTGCTCAATTAGTTGGAGCAGGTGCAGGAGCAGTGTCTACAGTGAAGAGTGGACATTCTAAACAATTCTCATCTCTTCCAGCAACCGACCATGCACATGCCGATAATTATAGCATGCCATCAAGAAGTAGCCAGAACGAAAGTAATGAAAATGGGAGCACTGAGATGGGTAGTGTTATTACTGATCACAAAGTGGACGGAGAAATAAAAGATAAAGAGCATTCTGAGAAAGTGAACATGAGAGAAGGTCCAAATAAATCCAAGTCTGGATCTGAGCGTACTGTGGGAGAAGATCGGGGAAGGAATGGTGGGACAAAAGAAACCACAGAAGCTGGAGAATGGGGGGACAATGGGGCTTTGCAGAAGTCTAGGAATATGCAGTTTCGGGAAGGACCACTTGGCCAGTCACCCCAGGATGCAATTAAAATGATTGACAAGGTGAAGGCAGCACTTGAGAAAAGGAAAAAGTCTCGTGTAGACCACTGGAAAAGGGAGTTGATGAATGAAGATGATATGATTGAGAAGGAATTAGAAGAGGGAATTGAACTGGCAGCCGAGGATGAAAAAAACAGGCAGGAGAGAAGGCAGAGCTGGTCGAAAACTGAGAATGAGCACCATGAGGATGTTGGAGGTGGAAAATATCTGGGCATGAAGGGACAGTCATCAAGGGCAGAGGAAGTGGAGGATGTGGAGGAAGAGGAAATGGTAGATGATGCATTGCCTATATTGAACAATCACAAGAGAAGAGGGAGCCCATTGGATAGACAGTTGGAGGCAAAGCGGCGACATGATTAAATCTCCAACTACCACCACAGCATAGCCTCCATGATACCATAGAAGATTGACATGGGATGAGCCGAATTGGTTATGCAGACAGGGAGCACTGAAGGCAATAACAGGAGGATTATCTGATACAATAACCAATTGCTGTATGTAATTTAGTTACTTCATGGTTAGTATGCCTGATAATTTGACGCTGCTGAGTTGTATCTTTTTGGTAGTTTAAACTATGGCATGTAATGTGCGTTTTCCGGCTAAGTAGGATCTTGGCCCTTAAGTTCCACCGCTTCTTTAATTCTAATTTATTAAAGCTGCACTTCATATACATATATATATATATACACTAGTAAAAGGCATGTGCGTGTTGAATGTTTTGTAATTTATCGATATATCAGACCACTCATTTTAAAATTATTTATAGTTTTCGTTGTATAATTTTGTCATATATTAATAAATATTTTTTTATATTAATAAATAAATACTGAAATATTTTGAATTGGTGGTAGGGTTAGAGTTTTGTAAAATAATAAATTTTTTTAGGTTTTTATATTAATACTGAAATATTTATATTTTATTTTTTTATTAATTAAGAAATATTTTTTTATTTTAATATTGAAATTGGAGATAGAGTTTGAGCTTTGCAAAGTAATAAATTGTTTATTAGGTAATTAGAAATTTAGAATAATTTTAAATTTACAATAGAAATTCAATTATAATAATTTTTAATTAAATTTTAAAATAGAAATTCAAATATACTAATTATGCATTAGATTGAAATTGATATAAAAATATATTATTTGGAGTTTGTGGGTTTTTGGAAGACCCTAAGTTATATATATATTTTTTTTTAATATATCCTTGTCTGACGTGATAGACTTTTATAGAAAATAAAATAGGTAATTTGTGGTAAAGTTATTTTATTTTTTTTAAATATATCCTTATTTAATTAGATTTCCTTTTATTAAAAAACTCATAAAAAAAAAAATAAATACATGTTATATGTGATAGAGGTTTAAAGAAAATAAAATAGATAATTTGTGGTACAGTTTTATAGAAATTATTTATTTTCTTTAATTATATTTATAATTAATATATAAATAAATAAATATATTATCTTTTATTAAAAAAAACTCATCATAAATAGATAAATAGGTAATATGTATTAGTGTTTTATAAAAACTCTTTCAAAAACTCTTTTTATATCAATTAATAAATATTTTTTATATTAATAATTATTGTCTAATTAGATTTAATTTATTAAAAAAACTCATAGTAAAAGGTAATTTGTGGTAGAGTTTTAGAAATTTTATTTTATTTTTTATATTAATTATTCTTGTCTAATTAAATTTTTTTTTATTAAAAACTAATAATAAATAAATAAATAGGTAATTTGTGTTAGAATTTTAAAGAAACTCTTTTTAAATTAATTAATAAATATTTTTTTATATTTCAATTTTATTAGGTAATTTTTAGAGTTTTATAGAGTTTATATCAATTAATAAATAAATACTAAAATACTAAAACACTGAATTAAACTCTTTTTATATTTTATTAGTTTGAATTTTATTAGGTAATTTTTCTTTTTATATTTTGTTAATTTAAATTTTATTTGGTTAGATCAATACAAAAAAAAGGCTTATATATAGAGGGAGTATAGACCTATTTGAATTTTATTAGGTAATTTTTAGAGTTTTATAGAGTTTATATCAATTAATAAATAAATACTAAAATACTGAAACACTGAATTAAACTTTTTTTATATTTTGTTAATTTGAATTTTATTAGGTAATTTTTAGAATTTATATTAATTAATAAATAAATACTCAAATACTTAAATACTGAAACTTTTTACACATTTAATAATCGTATAGATATATATATTATTGTTACACCCTAATACATTGGTCCATTAAATGATGACATTATCCATTAGATTGGATTAAATGGATGAGCGTGTGAGGAGCATGCACTCGTTGTAGCATTTTCCATTAGAAAAAAATTGGGGCCTTTAAAAAGTTTTTTCTTTTCGAAAAAATTAGAATAAGTCAAAAATACTTGCTAGTACTAGTATTATTTTATTTAAATTTATTTTATTGAAAGTTCAAGCAATACACTCTATTTTGTCCTCGTATGGTTCAAACCCTCAACTTTCAAGAGCTTAATCCGTTTTGCTTTTTAAAATGTCATTAATTGCATAAAATTGTATTGATATAGGAATCAGTAGTGACCATTCTCTTTTCGTTCTCTACTTTCTAATATGAATAATGTGGAGTTACAACTTACAAGTTTAGTACACTTAATTTAAATGTACTTCTTTCATGTATAAAGCAAAGCAAAACTACAAGATATAAAAGTTCGTCATATTGTCGATCATGGAAATCTTTTCCTTGAAAGATAGATAGAGAGGGAAACACCCAATAACCAATCAGAACCGCCCAACTCAGGTCTCCCCAACCTTATCCTCTCTGCATTCTCCACCTCCACCTCCACCTCCACCACCACCACCACCACCACCAATCTCACCTCCCCTCAAATCTAAATACCTTCCGTTCATCTCCATGGCTTCATCCTCCAACCTTCCTCCTTTTTCTCTCTACACAATCCAATAACAAAGAAAGAAAAGAAAATGTCTCTCACAATCCCCATAAGCATCCCCAAAACCAATTTCAAAAACAACATTCGCTTCCCAGTTCACCCCCCAAACCAGGCCTACCATGATTGTTTGCTCTGCCTCTCCCAACCCACCAACACCAGATGATTCTTCATCATCTGGTGCATCTCCAATGCAGGCATTCTCCGCTGCACTCGCACTCTCCTCCATCCTTCTCTCGGCCCCACCCCCGGCATCGGCCGACATCTCAGGTCTCACACCCTGCAAGGAGTCAAAACAATTTGCCAAGCGCGAGAAGCAACAGCTGAAGAAGCTTGAATCGTCTCTGAAGCTGTACAATCCTGATAGTGCGCCGGCACTGGCAATCAAGGCCACAATGGAGGAGAAGAAGCAGAGGTTTGACAACTACGGGAAGCAAGGGTTGCTGTGCGGATCAGACGGTCTTCCTCACTTGATCGTGAGTGGGGACCAGAGGCACTGGGGTGAGTTCATCACTCCCGGGATTCTGTTCCTGTACATCGCGGGTTGGATCAGGTGGGTGGGTCGGAGCTACTTGATTGCGATCAGGGATGAGAAGAAGCCCACCCAGAAGGAGATCATCATCGACGTCCCTTTGGCATCAAGTCTCGTCTTCAGAGGGTTTATCTGGCCCGTCGCTGCTTACAGAGCCCTCTTGAATGGGGACCTCATCGACACCACCGCATAGAGTCGAGTCTATTAAGTGTCGATTGTCTCAACAACCTTTTATGTAAATTGTATGGTATGTGATTGCTTCTGACATCATAGCCAGGTTTAATCTTGTTGACACTATTTATTAAAGTGGCATAAACAAACAAATCTGAGCGTTGTTTATGACATTGAACTTTTCCACTTGCATGACCTCCGGTGTCAGTTGCAGTGATTTTCTTGACACTCAAACATTATATACAAGTGAGGGCCATTACGCATGTGCCACTTCTAAAATATTAGATTTCACAATAACTTTTCATAACAAATATTGATGGTCACCAACATCATGTCACCTGGATTTATTAGAATAAAAAGGGGTATCATAGAGAGACTACACAAGAATCTGCTTTTTTATCATGAAAATTCTTCCTGTTCAACATTTGTAACTCTCCTTTGGGTCAGCTGAGGACTCGAGTATTCAATACCACTTTCAGTCGATGAGATATTTGATGATACAGATGAATCAGGAATTGAACTTGATACTGGGTTTGACTCCTGCATTTGATTTCTGTAACTCTTAAAACCCAGAGACTGAGGTGGCCTTGGTGCTTCGGGAGTTGGACGACCTTGAGCTCCTTCAGCAAGTCGCCTCAAAAGGTTCATGACAGTGGGCAGAAACCTCGACAAGATGGAAAGAAGTCCAGCCAACTGCACACAATATGGCATGGGGACTACATTAGGCATCAAGAAGGACAATAGTTATTTGACAAAGCTTCCGTATAACAATAACACCAAAATAATTACCAAGAGAATGTTCTCTAGACAAAATATCGTTGTATAAGAATAACACCAAAATAATTACCAAAAGAACGTTCTCTAGACAACACATCTCAACTTTCTCATTCATTAATAGACATGGTTATCAGGGGCAATCTTTAAATTCTTCTTCATGTTGTTCCTCTAGTTTTCAAGTCATCCTTTTCCTCGAGACCGGATGACTATCAAACAATCATACAAATCTTTGTTTGCTCTTGCCTGCTTGACCTAGTATCTAATCTAAGTTGACATTATCAATTGTGGAACTTAACGTATGCCACGAACCAAACCACAGATTTAATTTGTGGCAAACTGTACGAGGATACAGTGAAGTATGGCATCCCAAAACCTTTAGATACTTCCAGGATGGAGAGCTAAAGATGGTTGATTCCTTTATTAGATTACTATATGAGAATCCTGTAAACGCAGCTAGGGAGGACGTCTTTCAGTGGAGAGCTATCAGTAATGGAACATATAGTGTCATTAAAGATGTCTAGGTAGAAGGGAAGCATAACTATTTGAGAATCCTGTTAACGTGGCTAGGGAGGATGCCTTTCAGTGGAGAGCTATCAGTAAATGGAACATATAATGTCATCAAAGATGTCTGGGTAGAAGGGAGAATAGGCTTCTTAATAGGTGTTGAATGTGTAAGAAAGCTAAGGAGACTATTAAACATCTTCTATTGCATTGTGAGGCAACCAGGATCTCTGGTGCACGTCTCTTTCTGAAGTTCCAAGGTCATGCTGGGACCAACATTGCACCTCTTTGGCTGTTGACATGGAGTCTGTGCGCTAACACTGGAATCATACATGTCTGGGTGGCTGCACTTTCGTGCCTTATGTGGTGCATTTGGATATAGAAAAATGCCTCAAATTTGATGAGGTGGAGAGGACAGTTCTTGTATTAAAAGGATACTGCTTGATAATTGTACAGTTTTGGTTGTTAAGGAAGTTTTGTGACACCATTCTCTCGATTGCAGTGACTGGAGTTACGTTAAACACTCTTAGACACTTCACATGCATGTGGATTCAACCGTCTGGCGGACTCTTATAATATGTAAAAATAAATAAAATAGCGTAAAAACTAGAATCACTACATTTAGAAGGTGGACTCATCAAGGAAGACATACAAAAACACAAAGAGTATTAAGTAGTAGTGTCTTAAATAAATGATAACAATCTTTAGCTTCTTTCTCCATCTATTAATTGGTTCACACAGAGTAATAATGTAATTAATGAGCATCATAGCTAACAAAGGCCTCATGTCAGTATTGAAGAGTTTTAAATAACCAAAACAAGTTTTCATCCTTCATTATAATTTTTTTTTAAAAAATTAATAAAAAAGAAAAAAGTAAATTACTCACAATGCCATTCCGAAACTCCCCTGTGATGTCCATTTGCACCCATAAGGCTTTTGTGAGTAAATATATGACAAATAATGCCATGAGGTAAAGAGGATTCCTGTTTGAGTAGCGTAAGAGAGTCAATAAAGACGATGATTAGAAAGAAAGGGGGCATAGACTGAAAAACTGAAGCAGTCAAGCTGAAAGTGAACTTTAAACATAAATGAAATTTACAGAACAGAAGTTAAGCCTCCTTGATTAGATGTAATTACTTTAAAAGGAGCATGAATTCGTTAAACCCAAGAACAACCATTGCCAGTATAGCCCATGGAGGAGGTAACCAGTTGTTGCTACGCTTGTGAGCCTCCTGAAAAGAATGAGAAGTAAAATACATCAGAATGCCAGATTAGTGCCTTACAGGCATACATCATTCAAGGATCATGTGTGAGTTCACCAACATTGACCATTGAAAGGATAAGAATATGGAAACAAAAACAAAACATGCTGAAAATAAAAATTGGTGCATCAACACAAGAAGAATAAAGAAGATCAAGTTTATATAATCAAGCTTCTGATTCAAATTTTGTACATTGGATCTCAAACTATTTGAGTCTCATACCTTCACACGTGCAACTTTGAGTCTCAAGACTACTATTCTTTCTTCTTCTTCTTTTTCTTTCTTTTTTTTTTCCCCAGTAAATCCTTCAGGACTACTATTCCTTTTCACAAACTTCAATATTCTTCGGAAGAAGTCACTTTTTTTACCAAGAAAATGCAGTTTTTAGTATAGTAAATTTAACATGCAATATTGCTTCAAAGTTCATAAGGAGTTGATTCAATTATTTAAATAAATTAATCATAATGAATGATCTCTTGAATCCTCATTTATTCATTGATGAGCATAATTTAAATTTTTATCTATATTTGTAGCAGCAGATGTTTTTACAAGAATGGAAGTGTTATTAGTCTATGTTACATGGACTCATCAAAGTAGGTGAAGTACCCGTGTCCGACAAACATTACTCAGACATGGGTATGTGGGGAGGGAAAATAATGTTTTTGCACATACAGTATGGGATATGCGTCCGACACATTTGTTTAGACACTGACCTAGAAAACATTTCCAATAATTCAATTTTATTATATATTGCCTCAAAATGAGTTAAATGCCAATATTATACACTACATTACTGCAAGACATTATTTTATTCTAAAAAAGAAAATAAAAATATTAAATAATATGAATATTTAGCAGTGTCCATGTGTCTTTTTATTTGGGTTTTGACACGTCCGACACATGGATACATGCCCGTACCCAACACACGTAACCCAGTCCATGTAACATAGTCATTAGTGACATCTCATTGTGCACTTAAAATACACATATATATAGTCAATGCATGACAAATCCTTTACACTTCTTTCATAGCTACAATTTAATATAACGATATATTTCATTTGTTTCAATAATTCCCTAAAATAACACTTCTTTTTTATATCCGAATGCATTTAAAAATACATCATACAGTAAAAAGAACTTGGCCACGTAACAAGACTTTACCTTGCACATAACCGCAAAGTTAGTACCGTTGGTAATTATTTTGTAGCTATTTAATTCCATAGATTGATCATTCGAAAAGTTGTCATTCTCTATGGAGTAACGGTTGCATTAGCACCCAATATATATGCATGCCTACCAAACTTTTTCATCCTTTGATATCCACTTAATTTGAGCCACTCTGGAGTTATAAGTTGCAAGTATAACAACTATGTAACCCAATATATTTGCAACTTAACAAGCCATATATTCCATTAACACAATTCCAAATAAACAAAGAGACCACTTTCTTTCAAATTCGATGAATGACACCACATTTATGGAATAAATTGCAAGACAAGAACTTATAAAAGAGAAACAAATTTCTGAAAGAGCACAATGTATAATTATATACCTGTGCAGAAATTGCTTGAGTGACCATATACTCAGTTTCTGCCTTAAACTGCCTCCACAGAGACTTGCACTGCACGGGCGTAATCAGAGTGTTTTTTGGAGGGACCTAGATAAAAGTTCTTCCTTCATGAGGAATCAGTTCAACCTAAAAAAAATTACATACAATACAAAATTACCAGCATTATATACTTATAACTACCTCCTTCCACGTGCTTGAAGCAAGAGGATCTGCAGAAGCTCCAATGCTCCTATCTTGGGTAGAAGGAACAGCAACTGTTCCATCCATGAGTGATAATAAAAGTACATTCTCTATCTTATCTGATTCCTCATCCAATTGTATGGCAGCCAAAACAGATAAAAGCTTCAGAGACTGCAACATAATGATAAAATACACCATTTAGGAACTGCCAAATTATGCACATACAAGTATTAACTCCCATCATGACTGATCTTTGCAGATTACCGCAGAGCGTGCGTCCTTCGTGATTGCTCTAATGTCTTCCTTCTCAGTCCAAACCCTTGGCATTGAGTCAGCATCGTGGTTGAGAACAGTTGAGAACCTGGATATGTTCCAAAGCTATAAGCACCAAAATGACAAAAGGACCAATTATAAAACATTTGACCATTAAATTGGCTACCTATCCTTCATGCGGATCAGAACTTTCCCTGCTTCCTCTCTTGCCTTTTTCTCCACCATACTTCTAGCGTAGTCCCTCAAATTTTGCAGCAATCTGTCAATTGTTGCTTGGTTCAATTCAAAACTGGCAGTAGCAGTTAAAAAACCTGATGTGGCAGCCTCAGTCTCACGTTTTAGAAGCTTTCTTATTGATGCCCAGGTGCCTTTTCCTCCAGCTTCGAAGAGGGATTCTACAGGTTCAGTCAGAGCTTCCGTAAGTTGTTTCTGCAAGTCAAAAAGATTCCTATTGAGTTACATACAAAATGAACTAAGATTCCTTTTTTTGAAAATAAAAAAATAAAAAAAAGAGGAAACCCTATTAGAACACCAATGAGTTGCACCACAACCATGAAATTACCTCAAAGTTAGCTACTATTTCTGACAACTTCGCACTACGAACAGATGACGCATGTGCCTCAATATCACGATAAAGTTTTTCTCCCACTTTTGAAGCATCCCAATTAGCTTGCCGTATGGCAGCATCTGAAATTGGGGGAGAAATAGACTATCAATTAAGTTAAGGCATGAGTCTATAATTAAATGTTAACTAACCTACAATTTGAAAATCAAACAAAAAAAAAAAAATGAAAATATAAATATAAAGAGGTTCTTGTTTCATTTTATTAACAACATAACTAGCAATTTTGGAAATTACTATACTTTTAAATTAATTTCAAAAGATTATTTACTCAAGTATTGCATTACCAAAAAATGTAAATTATACTCCTAGAACCATAGTTAGTAAAAATACAGTGAAGTATGTGTCTGTAAACATACGGATATTATTCGCTTTTCTTATTTAAAAAATTGTCATAAAAAAATAAAAATGAAAAATACAAATATGTATATGTTCGAGTATAACACTTTTTTTTTTGTTTAAGAAATTGTCATTAAAAATTCGATAACAAATATATTATTTTTCTTCTCTTATGCCTCGTATGTTTTCATTTCAATAATATAAAATACTAAAAATAATAAGAAAGTATGGAGTGTTGTCGAGAGATAGAGGATTCTATAACATTGAAGAGTTTGTAGAAATTGGTAAATAGGAGAAGATTTCAGAAGGGTAATAAGTTTGCAAATATGTATATATTTAGGTGGAGAGTTGTAGTAACTAAACTTTAACTATTGATTGTAATGTATCCTAACCAAAGAAGTCTATATATAGATAGACCCAAACTCTAAAAGTGAAGTTGAGAGAATAAAATTTAAGTGGAGAGTTGCAATAACTAAACCTTAACCATTGATTGTAATGTATCCTAACCGTCCATCAAGGAAAATGTTAGTAAGGAGTCAACACCAACTTCAAAAGTGAAGTTGAGAAGTTTTGGGAGTGAGTGAGTGCATAAAGTCAAGAGCGTATAAAATGCGTAGTTAAGTTTAGTGCATTTATATGAAGTGACATTTTGTACAAATAAAACGTGTAGGTTCGTAGGAGTTGAGAAGTTTTGGGAGTGAGTGAGTGCGAGAATAAAGTTTTGTACGCTTAGAAAGAATAAAACGCTTAGGTACGTATGGGAATAATTGGCGTAATGTTGGCGAATTTACAAACTACGCCTGGAACTATCATTTATGAATTGATAATATATAATAGCAAATCTTTAAGTTTCACATATTTCGTAAGTTTTGGAATTAGGAGAAGTAACAAAAGTTTATAATCATCACCATATTAGACATTCATATCAAATTGAAAAAGTAGGGATTCTTAAACATAAAATGTGCACTCACATCTTGAATAACTTCCATTAGTAAATTATTCTATCAAATCCCAATAGAGTTACAAAGTACGTTTAGTTGGTGTTTTCGTCAGAATAAAAAAATGCATAGGTTGCTTACAATGGAAAGTATAAGAAGTACAAAATCATGTGTATATAGATCGTAATTTCAAGCAATAAACAAATTAGTCAATTCAAAGGCATCAACCATAGAGTATAGTAGGTTTGGGTAGCATGGATTTTAAGAATGGAATATTAAAATAACAATAATATCTTTAAAAAAAAAAACAAGAGGCCTGAAGCCGCATGTTACACGAACAACAGAGAAAGTGTGATTCAGTAATACTGATACAAATTCCATAATTCATTTGTGCATTAGTATTTTTTTTTTTTTTTTCCTAGTTGGTACTCACACACTCATGCCTCCATGGAGACTCGAACCTCCGACCTCCCTTTGGGAAGTAAGGGCTGGGTACCGCTGGGCTACTTGCCCGTTGGTTTGTGCATTAGTATTTCATTTCCTTTAATAGGGAATCCATCAGATTTACTAGAAAAAAGAATCCATTGATGCTTAAACGCGTGAGCTACATATGGAAGACAACAATAGATTTTCACGTCTTCTATGATCTTTAATATGAACACAGCTCTCCTTAAAAAGTATTGGAGTTACTTTGCTTGTTAAAGCTTCAAAACTCTTCTAGATGGGCTAAGCAAAATTCCAAATGATAACATTCTATAGGAACTTTAAAACTTTATACATTTCGCACCAAATTTAAAGATAAGAGCCTCTAACCCCCTTCCCCTACTCTCCTTTCTTTGTTTAAGAGGGTTGGAGTAGGGGGAATTTAGTTGCGAAGGGCTCAAATTATTATAATGCTAAGTATTTGTTAGCAGATATGATAGCCACGATTTATGAAATGACTTACCGTATTAGTAGAGATTTGATTATGCTATAGAATATGCCATAAAATATGCTATGATTTTATTTTATTTTCTTTATTGTAATATGACCATATGCTCTTTTTTATCAATAGATACTAGAGCTGTGAATGAATGATTCATCGCATTCAAGTCTTTACACAATTCTCAACTTTTTTCTTCTTTTTATATTTCTTCGTGGTATCAGAGCCAACACCTTTCAGCAGCCTTGATACTTGTGCGACAGCCGTCTTAGGTTGTTTGTGACATCGTGTGACGTTGCCTACACATGTTTTTTTATGTACCTGTTTTGTGATTGAAAATAGGTATTTTTAAGTTTTACAATTTCTTTTTTACTCTTCTAGGGTTGGGTAAATTGGGTTGGGTACCTATTTTGCTATTGTTTATGGTTTGAGGAGAGCCTTTGATTTATTAATAGAATTTGTGGTGTTTTTGGAGTTGTTTATTGTCGTGTGACAGATTATGGCACCTCAACTGTTAATTTTCTTGGCTCAAATTCTGTGGGTGGTGGTGCCATTTTTCGCACCAACTCATTAGAAAATCCAGGACTTAAAATCACCACAGTGACGTTGGATGGCTCTAACTATTTGATTAGGGCACAGTCTGCCAATATGTTTATTGGTGGCAAAGGCAAGATTGGCTATGTTACTTGTTCTAAGAAAGAGCCATCTGAGTCAGAGAAGGCATATCCACACTGGTTTGCAAATAACGCTATGGTTATGTCTTAGCTAGTCAATTTGATGCAGCCAAACATAGCCATTAGCTATATGTTTATGAAGACTGTTAAGTAGATTTGGGATTCAGTTCAACGCACTTATTCTCAGAGGTAGAATAATGCACGGATTTTCCAGTTAGGGCGAGACATCACCAGGATTTCTCAGGGTGACTTGACAATTTCAGGTTACATCGCCAAGCTTCATGCTATTTGGGAAAAGATGTCATATTATGATTCCTTCCACTCTTGGAAGGATCCAGATGATGCAGTTTTATATGCAGGGATTGTGGAGAAGAATCGAGTATTTCAGTTTCTTACCGGGTTGAACGACGAGTTTGAATATGCTTGTGTTCATTTATTGGGCTTATCTTCATTCCCTACTATTGAGGATGCATACTCCTATGTGTTGTCAGATAAAAGCCGTCAGACTCATCCATTAAGTGTTACTTCTGTTGATCGTTCTTCTATGGCATTTCGGGTTCCCAACCTTTCAGGAACTGCACCATCCTAGTTAGTTCAGAGTTCTACCACCAATCCTCCTCTAGGACGACTACGTGGGAGATGTGACCATTGTGGAAAAATTGGTCACATCAAATCTCATTGTTATGCACTACATGGACGTCCACCGCAACAGAAACAACAGCCTCGATCCTCTGCACATTCTGTTACACAATCAGTCTCGTTATCAACTCCTGACAACTCTACCTCTACATCTTCTGCCATAGTTAGCTTGACTCAAGCTGATTTGGACAAATTCAAACGATGCTTCAATCAAATAAAGGCGTTATCTTAGCCAACCTCCACTTATGCCCACTCAGGTACTATTGCGTATGCACATAGCGTGTCTACATCTTCGACACCATGGATCATTGATTCTGGTGCTTCAGACAATGTGGCTGGTATGTCCTCATTCTTCCAATATTATAATATATGCTCTGACCATCGCAAGGTATACCTTGCGGATGGCTTTCCATCTTCCATTGCTGGGAAAGGTCACATAGCAGTTACTCCTTCATTAACTTTGTCAGATACACTTCATGTTCCACAGTTGACTACAAATCTTATTTCTGTTAGTAGCATTACTAAACAATTAAATTGTAGTATAACGTTCTTTCCCTCTCACTGTATTTTTCAGGAGGATCTGGTGTCGAAACGGATAATTGGCAGTGGGCATGAAGTGGATGGCCTATACGGATGCTCCTTTGTCACCTTAAGCACATTCAGTTTCATTATCTAATTTTGTTTCATCTAATAAAGCTCAGCTTATGCGTTAACACATGCGTTTAGGTCATATTTCTTTCGAGTTTCGATTATTTAAAATATTTGTTTCATTCCTTATTTTGTAACGTGGCAGACTCAGATTTATCCTGTGAGATGTATCACCTGGCTAAACGTGTTTGTTCCAATTATCCTGCTAGTAGTAATAAATCTATTTTAACACCTTTTGATCTTGTTCATTCAAATGAGTGGAGTCCTTGCCCAGTTACTTCTAGCCTTGAATTTCAATATTTTGTGTTGTTAATTGATGATCATAGTCGTGTTACATGGGTTTATCTTATGAAAACCAAAAATGAGGTGTACACCATTTTTAAAAAAGTTATAACAATGGTTCAAACTTGTTCAAAATCGAGAGAGAGAGAGAGAGATAGCAAAACATATATACTGTATATTCAACACTCTAACCTAATAAGCCTGTGTAGGCTTATATATAAAGGGTACAAGTCTTGCATAATAACACAAGGGTCCTATCAACTAAATGTAATTACATAATGACCCAACACATATATATATATATAACTTCTAACACTCCCTCAAGCTGAAGAATATATATACCCAATAATCCCAACTTGAAACAGATAGTTCTTAACCGATTATGACCCAATGCTTTGGTAAACATATCAGCTAATTAATCTTCAGACTTCACAAATGGAGTAGAGATGCTCCCACGTAATATTTTTTCTTGAATGAAGTGACAATCAACTTCAATATGTTTGGTCCTCTCATAAAACACAGGATTTGATGCAATGTGAACTGCTGCTTGATTATCACAGAACAATGGAATAGGAGCTTCAATTGTCAACCCAAGTTCTTTTAGAAAATGTTGTATCCATGTC